GTGAGTCCGGAGAGGTTCCAGATCCCCGGTGATGCTGATGTTGCTAGTGCTGAGTTAGACGGTCTGAGTGGGTCCGGAGAGGCCACAGATCCCCGGTGATGCTAATGTTGCTAACGCTGAGTTAGCTGCTCTGAGTGGGTCCAGAGAGGTTCCAGATCCCTGGTGATGCTGATGTTGCTAGTGCTGAGTTAGTTGGTCTGAGTGGGTCCGGAGAGGCCACAGATCCCAAGTGATGCTGATGTTGCTAACGCTGAGTTAACTGCTCTGAGTGGGTCTGGAGAGGTCACAGATCCTCTGTGATGCTGATGTTGCTGATGCTGCACTAAGGCTTCCTTAACATCTTGTACTACTTCACTGAGGAACATTATCTGCATTAGCAAGGATCTCCCCCAGTATTAGCAAGCAACGGAAGTTCTAACATCCTCATCTTATTCAAGTACAAACCCAAATAGCATGTGTGTTTTGTTTTGTTTTATTGAGAAATGGTTTCTCTGTGTAGCCCTGGCTGTCCTGAAACTTGCTCTGTAGGCCATGCTGGCCTCAGACTCATAGAGATCCTCCTGCCTCTGCCTCCCGAGTGCTGGGATTAAAGGCAAGCACCACCACACCCAGCATGTTCATTGTTAATCAGCTGCCACCAGAGATGGGCTATAAATACAAAATCAGTAAAACTCATTGAAAATTCTCAATGGATGATCACTTGTGAGGCATTTATAGTAAAGATTGTGTGCATCATTGAAAGGTATGTGCTACAATCTTTTTGTCAGAAAAATTAAACTTACAAGAAACACACACATAGCAGGCTGTTAACTATTAGCACATGACTGGCTGACAGCCTCCAGTCATGGAACTGATAGTATCCTCCACAGTATCCATCTGAGAACCGGCCAAGTCCAGTGCAACTCAAGTCCAGTGATGGAGATAGCAGTGAAAGTAGGATCTGTCCATCTGCTCTGTGGCAGTCTTAGTGCTGGGACTCTGCTCTGAGCTGGCTGAGGCTTCCTCTAAGTTTCACTGGGCTTTGAGCCTCTTTCCATCCAATTATTCTCGTTTTTCCCTCAAAGGTATCCAATCATGTTTTTCCCTGAAGGTTTTCTTACTTTGCCTTTCAAAGCCTTTCCCACAACAAATCTCTTATACTTCTAACTTTTTCTAACATCTGCTTTCTGGAAGATGTAAATTGATAGAAAGAAATGGGGGCAAGGCTCAATTTTCCAATAAAAAGGAATAAACAGATAACTTTAAAAAACAGGCCAGGGACAGACAGCCCAGCAGGTAAGAGCAATAGCTACACAAGCCCAGCCACCCAAGTTAAGTCCCAGAATCCATGTAACAGTCTGGATGTGATCATGGACCTTTAATACCGCAGTCCTGTAGAGAGCAGGGAGACAGAAACAGGAGGACAATCTAGAAGCCAGCCTGGAGTGCACAGGCACAGCGAGCAGAAATAACAACAGGGATTCAGCCTCAGAAAGGTAGAAAGACAACTAACCCACTGAAGGCTGTTCTGTGACCTCCACATTCCCACCATGGTGCGCACATACCACACCTGCACACACATGTTGACAGAAGTTTCTGTCCACCTGGTCCTGCAGCCATTCAGTTCCAAATAAACACACAGAGGGTTATATTAATTATAAACTCTCTGGCCCATTGTTCAGGCCTATTACTAACTACCTCTTAAAACTTAAATTAACCCATAGTTTTTAATCTATGTTTAACCACGTGGCTTGGTACTTTTTTAGTAACGCATTCTCATCTTGCTTCCTCTGTATCTGGTTTGTGTGTTGTGAGGAGCAGCGGGCCACTTCCCACCACCTGGCTAGCTTTACCCGAAATAATTACACAGAGACTGTATTCTTTTGAACACTGCCTGGCCCATTAGTTCCAGCCTCTTATTGGCTAGCTCTTACATATTGATCTAACCCATTTCTAATATTCTGTGTAACACCACAAGCTGGCTTACCAGGAAAGATCTTAACCTGTGTCTGTGTGGGATGGGAGAATCATGGTGACTGACTGACTCGGCTTCTTTCTCCCAGCATTCTGTTCTGTTTACTCTGCCTACCTAATTTTCTGTCCTATTAAAGGGCCAAAGCAGTTTCTTTATTTAACCAATGAAATCAACACAAAACAGAAGACTCCTACATCATTTGTGACTGTATCTCTGCCTTTCCTCTTCCCAGAATTCTCCTAATCTGGCTGCACTGCCTATATTTCCTGCCTGGCTATTGGCCAATCAGTGTTTTATTTAACCAATATGAATGGCAAATCTTTACAGTGTATAAGAGCATTATCCCACGGCACACATACATACACACACACAAAAACACACAAAAAACAAAAGAGAGAAAAAGCGCGAACACACACACACACACACCATATACCTGCACACACACACAGCACACATACACCACCTGTATGCATGTGCACACAAATACAAAATTTAAAGTGACATGAAATGTTAATGATGCAGATTAAATTTAAAACCATTGGCTGGGCAGTGATGGCACATGCCCTTAATCCCAGTATTTGGGAAGCAGAGGCACACGGATTTTTGTGAGTTCAAGGCCAGCCTGGTCTACAGAGTTAGTCCCAGGAGAGCCAAGACTACACAGAGAAACCCTGTGGGGGGGGGGGCTTTACATAGAAGTGAATAGCACAAATTTTAGGGAAATTCATCCAGTGTTAGAAAATCTTCTGAGGAAAAAATATTATGTAGGAACTTAAAAGGAACACAACACATACATGAATCTTTTTTTAAAAATCTTTTTATGGTTTATTTAACTTTATTTTATGTGCATTGGTGTGAAGGTATAAGATCCCCTGGAACTGGATTTTCAGACAGTTGTGAGCTGCCATATGGGTGCTGGGAATTGAACCCGGGTCCTCGGGAAGAGCAGTCAGTGCTCTTGACCGCTGAGCCATCTCTCCAGCCCGAATCTTTTTTTTTTTAAAAAAGTTATGCAGAACAAAAGTAACTGAACACGGCTGCTGATGTGCCTCAGTGACAGAGCGCTTGCCTGTTGCGTGCGTTGTGTGTGCTTGGAGCCCTTGGTTTGATACAAAGCACAGCAACACCAACAACAAAAAAGGAAAGAAAAAAATGAAAAAAAAAAATCCTGGTCGAAAAAAGAACGATTTGGGCCAGGGATGGAAGGCTAATAAACTGGGGGATAGGCACAAGAAATTTGTTTGTTTTAAGACAAGGTTGCACTTGGCTGACCTGAAACACACTAGATCAGACTGCCCTCAAACTCACAGGTGGGTCACCTGCCTCTGCTTCCCAAATGCTGGGATTAAAGGCGTGCACCACCACCGCCCAGCTTTATTTCACTGCCTTGTATAGTTACATTTCAGTACAAAAATGAAAAGCAGTTCTTCCACAACAGTGCCGTTTTCTTGGAGATCTGCCCATTTCTGCTCCACATTCTTTTTAGTTGTGTTATTAGATGTCTGCAAATTTAGCACACTGCCAGTGAACTGAAACGTTTATGTTCTATGTACACACGCATGCCCTTCCTACCCGTTATTTAATATTTCCCTTTCCTCAAACCATCCACCTACAGGGCTTCGGACTGTAGATCTGTCTTGGTTTTGAATTAGCTTACACCAAATTCCATCACAGAACCTCATGCATCACATCATGCACGAGGCTGACAGGAAGCCACTATCCTGTCAGTTGGACGGCTACAGATTCCCCCCCCCACCCCCACTCTGGCTCTTCAGTTCCATTGGGGGAATCAAGCTCAGCCAAAACAGATGAGCCGAGGAAGGCCTGGTAGCACGTGCGTCAGGGACAGGTTCTGTAGAAGTAAGCCGCGTAACGCGGAAACTACTGGAACCTTATGGCGGGCACAGGGGCTTTAGCTGCGCTTCTGCAAGTAGTGTTAGGTCGCAGGGGGCTGAGACTTCACCACGTCCTCCGGAGAAACGTCCGACAGGGCCTAAAGCCGCTCGGAAGGTTGGTGGGGGTGTGTTGGGAGGGTGTGGTCCCTGTGGGCTCTCGTCCCCTCCTATCCTGCTGCTGGTTGCTGTAGAACCCAAGGCAAGCAACCCTGTCAATCACTGGTTGGCGGAGCTACAGGCACTTTCCACGTCTGGCCTCTTACTGGTCAACCGAGAGAAAAGAAGGCGGGATAACTAAGTATTCTCCTTCTGATTGGTCAACTCGTGCTGGTTCTTGTCTATTAGAGATGAACCTTGTTCTCTGCCATGTTGGATAGCTCGCTGCAAAGCCTATCCTTTTTCTGGGGTGGTCACCCAACACCCGGTGCTTTTCTGTTCCGCTGCGTCCCAGTATGTTGATCCAGTAAAAACGCGCTCTATCTGCTTCGAGTTCGTATGCCATGAGAAGTCCTGGTTTACATGGTTAGATCTTAATAAAGGAACCAGGAAAAGGCTCAGTCCCTAGCCAGGGAGCTGGGTGTCAGTCACGTGAATCTGTAATTAATCTTGGGGTCGAAGAGCGACTCGCTTCAAGATTACGTTTTATTTTGGCTTGCTGTGGTAGTCATGTGTGTAGCTTCTAGAATAGCTTCTAATTATGCTTCTAGAATACTCGTTAACCTCAGGCTTGTATCAGAAAACATCATTAGACTTTTGTTGGATAGATGGCTGGGGTTTGTGACAGTAAGAGAGGACATTGCAAGTCTTTTGGACCCTCGCACCTCCTGTAGCGTCCCTAGCAACCGAGCCCCTAGTTACCGGCCGCCCCAAGCCAGGATCTGCGAGGTCGGGGGAGGCGGCGCCAGCTCACCCGGCCCGGGCCGGCGCGGGCGCTGGGGCTCGAGGCGGGGCGATGGCTTCCCCGCATCGGGCAGCCAGGCAGGCGGCCGCCACTCTCCACCTGCCGGTGAACACCACCACCACCGGAGTCAGGGTCGTTCAGTACGAACGCGAAGACCCCTTAGAGTCCTTGGTCGCGGAGGCGTTGGCGGCAGCCATGGAGGAGGAACTGAAGACTGGGGTGCGGCAGGCGCGGGCGTCGGTAATGTGGGAGCCAGGCAGGGACTGAGGGCTGGCCCGGGTCCTCACCGGCGGGGACCCCCTGGAAACGTGGTGCCCTCTGCAGACCCTCCCTCCCTGCTCTCTGTCCCAACTAAAGATTGCTGTAAAACTTTCTTGGAGAGCGTTTGTATGACTGTTTCTAGGGCGTGCAAAGAACAGAACTTCCTATTCTCCCGCATAGTTTGGGAATAAATAATTCTTTAGTTCTTTGATTTTTATTTTCTTTTTACCTTGAGTAAAACTGATGTGCCCATAGTTTTCATAAAACCTCAGATGATAAGCTGTACTGACAAGTGTGTTTTATCACCGTTAGGTTTTGGTTAGTACTGGATTTTAGCACAGTTCATTAGAAGAGCGGGTATGAAGTTCTATGGATAGATGCTCCACAGATATAGAGACATATTTAGATAAACAAATCGCCGAAATCCCAGTGTTTCCTAAAGGGTCATGAGGGTGCAGTGAGGTTTTTTTGTTTGTTTGTTTTGTTTTTCATAAGCCATTTTGAGTATTACGTCCTGGATACGTTTCCAGCAGAAAGGCACAGCCTGTCGTTTGTTTTCTTTACTTTTTCCCGGCAATATATTTTTTACTCTTTGAGAATTTCATACCGTGTATTTTGAACATAATCATCCCCCCCATCTGTTCTATTCATTGTATTTGTTTGCTTTTAGATTTATGTGTCCCACGTGAGGTTCTGGAAGTTACAGATAGTCGTGAGCCACCATGTGGATGCTGGGAGCCAAGCCCAGGGCATCTTGCAAGAGCAGTTGGTGCTCATAACAACTGAACCATCTCAGCTTCCTTATTTTTGTTTGTTTTTTAAGACAGGTTCTCTCTCAGAAGCCCTGGCTGTCCCGGAACTGGCTATGTAGACCAGGCTGGCCTCAAACTCGCAGAGCTCTGCCGGCCTTGGCCTTGGCCTCTGCCTGAGTGTTACATTTAAAGGTGTGTGCCATGCCCAGCTTCTGGTCAATTTAAAAGTCCGGAACCTCGAGCCTAAGCTAGCACTGTGCTGGTACAATGCACCAGGTACACGGGCTTGTGTCTGCCCCACACTTGGTTCCCTAGTGGCGCCCACCAGGACTTGATGAAGGCTCTGTTTTGTGCTTGCTAGGCCAATACTGTACCAACTGAGCCACATCCTTGGCGTTTTTGTTTTTATTTTAGACAGGGTCTCATTTGGTCCAGGGTGGCCTCGAACTTGCTATTTATGGCTGAGGGTGACCTCACGCTCCTGATCCTCCTGCCTCCATCTTCCAAATACTGGGATTAAAAGCATGAGGCACCATGCCTAGCCATTGGCAAAACTTTCAAGAACAAACAACTTGAGGTTATCTAGAGTAAAGCAGAGGGAGACGTACACGAGTGAGGTTCAGAAGCCTAGCAGTGGTTAATACTTGCTAAAGCTCCTGTTCAACCTACAGAAGACAGAATATTGGATGGCCGGAAGTACTTGGATTCTCTGCTCCTCCCTAGGTGATTTTAGGACTTGATTTCTCTTTCCTTATCTATAAAGGGGCTGTAATTGTCTCCATTTTCACCTCAATTCAGTTGTTAATAAGAACCAAAAGAGAGAATGAGTGTTATTTCTAAAGAGTAATTTACATAAATTAGTGTAATTATAACAACTGCCAGTTTGAATAATTCACTCGGAAACTAATTTGTACTTTGGTTTGCTGTGGTAGAAAAGTCCATTCTTCCTATAGTTGTAGTTAGAGTCCTGAGTGCACTGTTAACTGGGGACTTTTGTTATAAAGTGAGTTTGGGTTTCCAGGATCCAAGTAGAAACCTGCTGTGTTGGCATTTGTCTGTGATCCCAGTGTGTGTGGGGTGGGAGATGGGCAAAAATGAGGTGGAGCATGAGAGAGAGAGAGAGAGAGAGAGAGAGAAATAATAGACACAAGAGATTAAGGATCAGCCACCATGGTAGGAGGACTAGGACAAGGCCCAGAAGATCCCTCATTAACCGAGGAACAGCGGGGAATGTGTCAGCTGCTACATCAGGTCCCTAAATGTGAAGAACAGAGAATAGTGTCCCCAGAGGGGCGTTCTGTAGGTGGGAAGCTGAGCGACTGTCCCTCCGGTGGCTTCTGTTTTCCTGAAGAAATGAAAGGGTCAGGAGAGCAACTGGCGGGTAGGTGCAGGAGCAGCCGGAGGAGCAGAGGAAGGCAGGCATAGTTGCCAGGTGATGGGAGCCATTTTCAAAAGGAACTCTAGGTGTTGGACAGGCCAGGTGTCCGCAATGTCTAATTTAGAATTGTGAGTTTGAGACCAGCCTAGACTACATGGAAAGTTCCAGACCCGCCTGGACTGTGTTGCAAGACCTTGCCCCCAAACAAATAAATAAATCTCAAACATTAGCTGGGTGCAGTTACTTGGGAGGATGTGTGTCTTGTTATGCCCAAATCTGCGAAGTCCCCCCAAAGCCAACAAGGAGACCGAGTCCCATCTGTAAAAACAAAGAGCCTTTATTTTAAGCAAGTTTGCAAACTCGGTCTCTCTGTATGTCCAACGTATTGGAATAACCGGGAGAGCCCCGAGCTCAGTTAGAGTAGGGTTTTTATAGTAGTAAAGGTGGGGATGAGGGGTTTCTGAAATTCAGGAGCCCTGATTGGCTGATGTTTGTCTAGGGGTGTTCTAGTGAATGTGTGCTGGCAGGTGATCCTATCTACTGTGGTTGGAACGTTAGGCATTTCCTTTGGATGGTCTATTCTTGGGAGGTGCTCGGGTAATCTCAGTTTGTGGTTCTTCCTGCAACCAGGTATTGCTTCAGGGTAAACTGCTGAGACTCAGGCTCTATTAAACTTGTGGATGGCTGAGTCCTACTCTGGCAGGTGATAATGGTTGGAAGTAAAGAACTTCCTTTGAGTGATCTATTCATATTTAGCTTACCAGGGCTGGCTCCTACATATCTCACTAAACATTGATGTAAAACTCCTTCCTTCTTTCCTTCTTCTCTCCCTCCCTCCATTCTTCCCTTCCTTCCTCCTTTCCTCCCTTCCTCTTCCTGTTCCTCTCCTCTTCCTTCTTTTCTTCTTTTTTGGAGTCAGGGTCTCACTGTACCCCTGGCTGGCCTGGAACTCATGGAGACAGGCTGGGTTTCACAGAGATTTACCTACCTCTGCCTCCCAGATGTTGAGTTTAAAGGCATGTGCCACCATGCCTGGGCCCAAAGGATCACTTGTAGAACAGGCTAGCCTCAAAGTCATTGTGTTGCTCAAGATGACCTTGAACTCAGGGTCCTTCTGTCTCTGCCTTCTGAGTGCTGGGTTAGGAAAGGCGCCACCAGGCTCAGCACTGAAAAAAAGAAAAAGTGGTAAGAATTCCAGAACTTCAGATAAGCTCTGTAGAGCACAACACAAATAATCTCACGTGGTGCTGATGTTAGTATCGCCTCAGGGCATCCCTAAGTGGGTCAAGCCAGTCTCAGGATTAGCATCTTACCTAGTGGTGTTTACCACCCGAAAAGCTTAACTCTCAAGAAGTGGGAAGATAACCTAGCGTGTACGTGGTGTTCAGCTCACTAGGTGGTCCTAGGGTAGAGGGCAAAGGTGGGACTAGAACATTCATCTAAACAACCAGGAGTGTTTCTTTGGGACAGTTCGCCTGTGTTGACAGTGAGTGGCCAAGTGCAGGCCCCAGTGTGTGAGTGCGCACCCTCCTTCGCGGAGCTCATCCAGACCACAGTCTCTTGCGGTTTTCAGTGTAGATGGCATAGGCCCTTTGAAGAGATTCTCTGGGGGAGTGAATCGGCCCAGGGGTGTCCGCTATCCTAGAGGGCGTAACCTAGAAGACATTGGCATTTTCATAGCCTGATTCTCAGGTTTTCATTCATGTCTGGAATGCGAGCCTTTTCCTTGGTGATCGGATAGGTGTGGTTCTCCAGCACCCTGTGCTTCTAGTGGTCATCCGTTCTTGGCCAGGTGCCTTCCAGGAGCCGGGAATACAACAGAACATGCACACAAGCTCTTGCCTTTTACCGCTGACTCTGCAGCCGGGGCAGCATGGATGTACAAATCAGGATGGGGAAGATGGTTGATGGTTAAATGCTTGTGTAAAAATACAGCAGAAAGGAGGACTCATGGTGAGTTGGGAGGACTCGGGGTGAGTTGGGAGAGCTGTCATTTCAAAGAGGACAGTCAGGGAAGACTTCTGAGGTGGTGTTTGAGTGGAGGGTGAGCCTTATGCTGTGGAATCTTCTGGGGTATGAGCATTCTTGAGAGAGGGGCAAATGCAGAGCCTTGGGGGAATTCTCCCTTCCCTCACTTCCTAGGTCTATTTTTATTTATGTGGGGAGGTGGTTTATGTGGGGAGGTGGGCTATGCGGGGAGGTGGTCTATGCGAGTGTGGCGTGTGTGTGCAGTGCTCATGGAGGCCAGAAGAGGGCGCCGGATACCCTAGTACTGGAGTTATGAATTGTGAGTCACTGTGTGAATGCTGGGAACTGAACCTGGGTCCTCTGCAAAAGCAGCGGCCCAGTTCTCATTAAATAGTCCTTTGGGCCTATGAGTTGTTGATAACAAGTTTCTACTTATCGGTTCTACTGAAGAGGAATTGTTTTATTTTGTTTTCTTGAAGTTATCCCAAGTGGGACAACAACACAAGTCTTTCAAATACTTAAAAAAAAAAATAGCAAAAATCTGGGACTAGACAGATTGCCCAGTGGTTAGAGCACTTGACACTCTGGCAAGGGACTGGGATTTAGTGCCCAGCACCCACGCTGGGCAGCTCACCGTCATGTGTAACTCCAGGTTCTGGGGATTGAACTCTGACTTCCGGACTCCATGGGCACCTGCACTCACCTATGCACACATAATTTAAAAATATGTACGGCTGTCTGTCCATCCATCTAGCCATCCTCCCCTCCTTTCCTGTCATGGTGGGAATGAACCCACTGCCTGGTACGTGCTCAGCAGACACTTGGCAGCCGAAGCCCTTCTCCAACCCAGAGTATGGTTTTTAACACTTCTTAAGTTTCCCACTGGAGAGGCTAAGCCGACTTATTCTGTGAAATCAGATCGTTAGGAGTCTAATTTGGGAACATACTTTGTTTCGTTTTCAGCCTGTTCTAGATGGTAGGCTAAATTTAAACCCATGGTTGGCAGCCCTTTATGCGTGTATCATATATTATCTCAATTTTCTCCACTGAGAATATTAAAAATTATATTTATGAAGAAAATGAGGGGCTTGGGGTTATATCATATGTATGTGTGTATACCATATGTGTGTTCAGGCTCACATGTGTGTGTGTGTGTGTGTGTGTGTGTGCAAAGAGGCCAGAGAACAACCTCGAGTAATGTTCGTCAGTGTTTTCGTTGTGGTGATATTGTTTGAGAAAGGGCCTCTCACTGGAACCCAGGACTCACCCATGAGGCTGCAAGGATCCTGTCTCTACCTCCCCAGTGCTGGGACCGCCTAGCTTTGTTAGGGGTTAAGGAACATGAACTTAGCTTCTTACGCTTGCATGGCGGCAAGCACTTAACCTGCTGAGTTGTTGGCCCAGCTCTAGAAAGTGAGGTTTTTACCTTTGTAGTCGAGTCAGTTAAAGGGGTGAGAGAAATTCCTGTCAGAACCTCCAGTCCTGACTTGTATGTGGAGCGTCTCCAACATACAAGTGTACATGTGGTATTCCTCCACTCTCTCTTCCCGTGCCCAGAGTGTCTGCCACCCGTGGGCGTTACTCTCCTTGCTGCCCACAGCAATTGTCTTCTGAAACTCTCTTTGCCCTGTGTCCTTTTCCCCTGCAAGGTCAACCCAGCCCAGGTCCTTGGAGTTCACTGAGAACTTTGTCCCTGGACCCATTCCCGCTCTCTCTCAGAGCCCCGAAGCAGGAGCCCCTCAAGAGCTGGTGCTGCCTACAGGAGCAGCAGTCTCTCTTTTCTCAGCAAATGCACAACTCAGAAGAGGCTTCTGGTTGGAAGCCTTGTAGCCATGTTCCAGTCTGTTTGCTGCAGTGCTGTGTCCTGAAGTGAGTGTTTCTGTCAGTTATCTGGTAACCTACCCGTTATAAAATGGACTGAAGCCAGGCATGGCGGAACACGCCTTTAATCCTAGGCATCAGGAGGCAGCGGCAGTCAGACCACTATTTCAACTAACTCGGTGTATGTAGTGAGTTTGAGGCCAGCCTAGGCTACATCGGGGACCTCTGGAAGAACCAGCATTTGGATCAGCATCAATTAATTTGTTACTTCATTTCAAATGCCATCTAATGGGTTTCTCCTCGCAGCAGGCTGGCAGTAACCGCTCTCCTGCGGAAAATGAAGGTGTGACGCTCCAAGACATCATGAACTTTTCTGATATTTACCGCTCCAATGAAGAGTATTTCAGGAAACTCAAAGAGCTGAAGGCTGCCCATGTAGAAACCATGGCAAAATTAGAGAAAATGTACCAGGACAAGCTAAATATAAAAGACATTCGGCCAGTGGTCATCAGGGAAGAGTCCTCTAGTGTCTCCTCTAGGTAAGTTTGAGTTCCGTGTCAACTGCAGACTGACCTAAGGTAAATACTTACGGTAACTGTGGAGCAGAATAGCCCAGAGAATTCGCCTCTAAACGTAGGCCCTCAGCACACAGCGAGAGCCTGTCTAACAGGCATCGGGGGGTTGATCCTCAGAATTGTCTGGGGGGCAAAAGTAAACTTAAGTACGACACTTTTGTTGAAAATACTTTCCTGCCTCCCACGAGCAACTGAGCGTGACCAGCTGCTCCTGTTTCTGGGTGTCTCTAATCAAGTGAAAGAGTTGATTAGAGAATTTATAGTCCCCTCTCAGCTCTATTCTAATAAAAATGATACCTTTCATGATCCATATACAGCTAGTCTCTTCTAACTGGTTAAACCTTCATCTTAGAAAAACCTATAGTTACCTAAATGCTAACATTTGGCCATATAGTATTGAAAGCGTGCCCTAATTATTTCTTCCTTAGTTCTGCATCGGAACAGAACTGCGCTCACCCTGTCATGTTAGTGACATCGATTTCAGAGCCTCAGATAGGCCGGTCGCCCTCGCTGTCCACTACTTCTGACGAGGATCTGCCCAGCCTGGAGAGAGAGACTCCCCGGGAGAGCAGGATGGCAGCCTATGCAAGGGAGCTCATCAACAACATGTGGGTTGGCTTTTCCGTAGAAGATTACATTCAGTGTGACTCTGACGTCCAGAGAGCTAAGAAAACAAGGAAGAAACCCAAATCCTGGGTGCCCACGATCACAGTGCCTGTGCCCTTTCAGATGACAGTCAGAGAACAGAAGAGGCGAGAGGAGATGCAGAAAGCAAGGTCAGGTCTGGAAAGTCGGCAGAAGCTGCCCAAGAGGGACGACGATGAGGACGAGGCTGAGTGTAAGAAGAAATTTCGAGCCAACCCGGTCCCCTCTTGTTTGCTCCTCCCCCTTTATGAGGATCTGGTCAGACAGACTGAAGAACGGAGGAGGATAGCCAGGGAGAGGAGCAAAGCCGAGCTCCTGTCCTCCCAGAAGCCTTTCAAGTTCATTGCCAGGGAGGAACAGAAGCAAGCCGTCCGCGAAAAGCAGCTGAGAGACCTTTTTAAGTCGAAAAGGAAAACGAAGCGGTTTAAAGCCAGACCTGTGCCTCACTCTATTTACAGGGCAGCTGCAAATGCCAAGTCAAAGGAGGAGGAGCTCGGTAGGAACGCCAGGACGCAGTCGAGGGACCGAGAACTACTGCCGAATTCCCCCGGGCGCTGTAGGCCGGCTTGCAGACATTTACGGGACCCCCAAAGTACCGAAAAGCCGAGGAGTAGACACAGGTGTAGGTGCCTGAGCCCTGATGACGGAGACTTGCCAGAGAAGCACCCGAAGGCGCCCTTCTCAGAACACAGCTTTCAGAAACGCTCAACTCTTCGTAAACAGCGTGGTCTTCACGAATCCCCGTGTGACTCTGCTAAAAGACAGAAAGTCTTGGCAGACGTCGGATCTGATGAAGAAAATCGGAAAGAAACATACTGGCTTTATCTGCCTCCAAGGCGGAAGTCACCAGTCAGGGGTGCGTGTGCAAAGCCCAGGCCTTGTCAGCGCAACCCTCCGATGTCCACCCAGTCTTCCCGAGGGCGGGAACAAGCCATCAGGTGAGGCCCTGGGATGGCGCTGTCTGGCATGTGTCCCTGCCCTGGCATATGCCCCCTGCGGGTTTTAGCCTGGTAACTCTGAAATTACTAACTTCTCTGTAAGGTATGTACTATATGGTAGAGAATCGTTTGCTAGGAATGCTATTCTAAGAAACAGATGTGAGTTCTGTGTTTCCTTGGGAATAGACAAGCTTACACCATCATCAGTGTTCCTTGGACTTCCAATTTCACAAGTCAGATTTTGGTCAAAAGGTTTTGCTTTTTTTCAGTCTTTGAATTATCTCTTGTTAAATCTTTGCTGGACAACTTTCTCCTTGGCTTAAAGTGAATTAAGCCTTAGTTTGTTGCCCTCAGGAAATCACTTGAGGAAAAGAAAATGTTGGAAGAAGAGAGAAAGCGGATCCTAACTAAGCAGAAGCAAAGAATGAAAGAATTGCAGAAGCTCCTGGCAACCCGGGTTAAGGCTTATGACTCACATCAGGGCTTAGCCCAGATGTCTAAATCCAGAGTAAACCATCTCAGGTACTACGGGACAGTCCCGACACTCAACTATTGGCTTCCAGGCTCAGTTCTTTTCCTTCCTTGCCTTTTCTTTTCCTTCTTTTCCTTTCTTCTTTTTAACCAGCGAATACCTAGATATAAAAATGGTGTGTCATCTCAATTTATGCATTTAAATAATCTTTGACTTTTACATACAGATATGCACACAGGAGCATATGATGAGAATCAGGGTACACTCACCTCCATAGCAAGAATCACAAGACCATGTGGAGCAGAAACATTGTCTGCTCCAGCCATAGCCAATGGCTGTGCTTAAACTAAAACCCTTTTGTTCATTGTTTATAAATTACATAAACACTTGGCATATGCATACATATATACACGTATGTATATGGTACTGGGCTGTGTGGGTCAAACCCAGGACCGCATACATGCCAATGAAGCGCAGACTCTCCGACTGAGCTTGCCTTGCCTGTGTTACTTGTGGTTGTCCAGTCCCTCACTGAAAATAGTCTCTAGCACTGAGCTACATCCCAGCCGAGAATATTCTTGTTCAATTAAATAAGTGGAGGAGTTTTAAGTTTGTACAAAGTACAATGGCTCGAGTGAATGCATTGTGGGTACACACTGCACCTGTGACTGTTTCCCGACGACCAACAGCAGCTGCAGAATGCTAGAATTCTCTTGAGCAGAGTTGAGAACCAGTGTTGCAAACAATGCACATACAAATGGTCATGTTTAAGCAAGAAAATCTCTCCTCCAAAGTTGGGTAAGTACTATGATTTATTAACCTTTAATCTGATTTTTAAGAACCAAATAAATATATTTGCTCTTAATTACAATGAGTATTCCTTTATAGAATATTCCTTTATAGTATAGCAATAGCCCACTCATAGAGCCTCATTTGAAATCAAGCCAACAATTCCTTAGGAATACAGTATTTACCTGTGGAAGGTAGTAACTCGCTGTAAGTAAGCATAGCTATTGTAAAATATAATTATTTTCTGTATTCATGAAACTTGCATGTCTTGGTTACTTTTAGTATATTTTACATAGGGAAAAACAGTGCCCTTTAATTCGCTGTGGAATCTGCTCCAAAGAATAAGTACATTGATACTCATTCAGTGTTGCTGCTGACCTTGCGGTGATCTCCTTTGTGGGAGAAAAGAAAACCAGGGTCTTGGTTTGAGAGAATTTTCTTTAAAGATCGTGGATTTGGACCAGATCTTCTTGGTTTTGTATACTTATAAGTAAGACACTTTTCAGGTCAGTTTCAAGGTTTTTTTTATACTGTCTGTCTTGAAGACTTGAACTCAAAGTGCCCACACTGTTTTGGAACCTGATGTTTTCACTCTGAACTTAGGAGAATCTTACCAGTCTAGAAATGGAGCCGCGCTGAACTGTGTGCTCTGGATTCCTAGTTCGTCTTCTGAAGTAAATGTCCTACTGCAGCTTCCGTAGCTGACCTTTTAAAATGCCGATCCCTTTATCTGATTCTAGAAAGAGTGAGAAGGCAAGGATGAAGGAATATTGGCAAGAACTGGAAGAGCGAGACAAGAAGCTGCAGACGAGGCCGCTGCTGTTTGAACGAGTTGCCCAGGTGGTGTTTGTTGGCATCTAGAGCCATTCCCTGCTGTCTGTTTCTGTGCCTCTAGCTCCCAAGCTTGGGCTTCATCTTTTCTGTGTGTCCTGTTATTGTTGAGACATGCTGTTTCCGGGGCAGCTTCACTGATCCAGTTCACCAAGGAGGTAATTTTGCTTAAGATCTGAGGAGGCTCGTAGCTCAATAAAGAACATTCCGTTAACCCGGCACACCTCCATTAACCCGGTACCTCAAGACATTCTTGTCACAGTCTGCGTTAGTGCCTGGTGTTTCTGAGACAGGGCTTCTCTGTAGACCAGGCTGACCTTAAATTCACAGAGATCCATCTGCCTCTGTCTCCCGCTAGGGTTGAAGGTGTGTCCCACCTCACCTAGCCAGTGCCTGTACTTTTTAGTCATCCTGGTTCTGCTGTTCCGGTGAGGCTTTGGGATATTGTTGGGAGACCTTTGATGAATTGATCCATTTGGTTGGAGCCAGTGTATGCAACACAGTGAGACTCTGTCTCTTAAAAACATTTTAAATTTGATATTTATGTATTCATTTAAATTATTTTATTTTATGGCTGTGAGTGTTTTGCCTGCATGTGTGTCTGTACACCACGTGCATGCATTGCCTGCAGAGACCAAAGGGCACTGGATCTCCTGGAACTGGAATTGTGAGCCATGTATGACTGCTGGGAAATGAGCCCAGGCCTTCTCTAAGAACAAGAGCTCTTGCTTAATCCCAGCACTCGGGAGGCAGAAACAGGCAGATCTCTGAGTTCAAGGCCAGACTGGTCTACAAAAGCTAGTTCCAGGACAAGTTCCAAAGCTACAGAGAAACCCTGTCTCAAGAAGAAAAAAAAAAGAACAAGCGCTCTTAATCCAGGCCTAAAAGCATCAAAAGGCAAAACGCAGATCTTTCTGCTTTTCCATTCTCCTGTCAAAATGGGTGCGAGTTGGTCCACCTCAACAGCAGTGCCATCGTCCGTTCCCTTGGGTCCCATTCCTCCCTGTTTTCAGCTCTCAAGGCTCTTATCATTGGTGTCCCCAAGATTACCTCTGGAAGGGGAGGGAATCCTATAACTCCAGTCCAAAGAAGGGCGCTAATCTGGTTTATAGTTAGCAAACGGTAAACTGGGATCAGAACCTGAGATGCTCAGCTTCCCTTAGCCCTTCCTCCTGTAGCACAAATTCTAATTGGTATTAATAATAAAAACCCAGAGCCAGATATTGGGGTTAATGCTGAAGATTGGAGAAGCAGAGTGCCAGCCGCTAGAGAGTTCTTTCACCTCTACCTGTGCTCAGACCACAGGGGTGACTCTGGGTACCCTGTCCTCAGACTACATCCTCGGACTGCTACTGTCTCTACGAAATCTCAGATGCAATCAAGCTCCTGTCTCCTCCTGCTTTACATTCCTCTCTCCGCCCAGCCATATCCCTTCCTGTCTCCACCTCCAAGTACTGGGAGTAAAGGTGTGAGCCCCCACCGCCTGGCCTCTAGTTGCTAGCTCTGCACTCTGATCTTCAGGCAAGCTTTATTTGTTAAAACACAAACAAAATATCACCCCAGCTCCCAAAGGATGAAATTCTAGGTCGCAGCACAGAGGTAAAGTCCCCGAGCTTCTTCTAGCCTTTGTTTTGGAGACTGGTCCCATGTATCTCAGGCCTCAAACTCCGGCAAAGCCAAGGTGAACTTGAACTTGTAACCTCTGCCCCCGAGTGCTGAAATGACAGGTGTGTACCACCACAATTGATTTTACGTATGGGGCCAGACTCAGAGCTTCACGCCGCAGGGCAGACAGTCTGCTTCAGCCATGTCCCCAGCCGTCCCTCAGCCTCCTCAGCCCCTGTCCCTCTTCACTCTCCGAAGCTTTCCCTTTCCCTGTCATTCCCTTTACCCGTGGCTCTGCCAGACTGATCGATACCACCCTCTCCTTTTTGGATTTTTGTTTGTTTGTTTGTTTTAGACAGGATTTCTCTGTGTAGCTCTGGCTGTCCTGGAACTCACTCTGTAGACCAGGCTGGCCTCAAACTCACAGAGATCCACCTGCCTCTGCCTCCCCAGTGCTGGGATCAAAGGCAAGTGTCACAGTGCCCAGCCATAGTCCTCAGTCTTAGATGCCATGACATTAGACCATTAAAGATAAAATCATCAATACTGTCTCTTTACTTTATGGAGAAAAAAAGGAACAAGGTCTTCTCTGAAAAAAAGAATAAGGCACTGTTGCCACAAGTTAAAGTCAGTCTTTTTTTGAGGCAGGCCTCGCGTAGCCTAAACTGGCCTTAGACAAAACCAAGGGCAACCTTGGGCTTCTCATCTACTGCTGCCTTCTGAGAGCTGGGATTGCAGAGTGTGTCGCCACTCCTGGTTTACATGGTGCTGGGGACTGAACCCCGGACTCCATGCTTCCTAGACAAGCCCTTTCCCAGTGGATATACCTGCTTAGTCCCGGGATGTTCTCAGCGCGTCGGAGTTGTTTGGCTTCATTTGCTTCCGTAATCTCCGGGGCACAGTTCTCATTTCTCACTTGGTTTTCAGTTCACCAAGACTGCACGTGTGTGTGTGTGTGTGTGTGTGTGTGTGTGTGTGTGTGTGTGTGCGCCAGAGGTCAATGTTAGGTATCTTCCTCCATCCCTCTTCATTGGATTTTTGAGGCAAAGTATCTCAGTAAACCTAGAGCTCATGAATTTGGTTAGGCAAATACAGTGGTGCACGCCTTTAATCCTAGCACTTAGCAGGTGGGCAGAGACTGGGGGAATCTCTGTGAGTTTGAGGGTAGCCTGGTCTACACAGGACCAAGACAGACAGTACTACACAATGAGACCCTGTCTCATTTGCATTGTTTAAAAACTGTTGTTACTAACATTGGTACAGTTTACCAGAAGTTTTAAATTGTGTGTCTTTTTCAGTCTCCCAGAGTATCTGGGAAACCATGATAATCCATCGCAATTGATCTTGCTATTTTGTCTTCTATGGAACCCTAGGTTGAACAACCGTGGTTTCCTGTCTTCTTGGGTGTTGATGGGTGCTGTCTCACACCCTGCATATGGAGCTGGGTTGTTCCTTGCAAACCTTGCTTTAGGCGGATTGGAGGTTTGTTGGGAATTCTTGGCCCCAGATCTCCTGTAAGATCCACTCAGAAGCACAAAGATTGGGCTGAAGCCAACCGAGCACCTTGTCCCCATGTAGTTGGTTGAAGCCTGTGGGCTCCTGGCCACATTTCAACTTGTGACAGCTCTGCCTTGTTTTTTCCAGTCAGGATCCATGCCGTGTAGCCTTTCCTGACTTGGTGGTCAGGCTGTCTACTTCACCTGCCATGTTCTGGGGTTGAAGGCTTTTTGTTTTTAGGTTTGGAGTTTTTGTTCGTTGGTTTGGTGTTTCTGTGGTGGTATTAGAGATTTAACTCAGAGCCCCAAACATGCCTGTATAAGTGCCCCACCATTGAGCTACACCCCTAGTCCTCACGCCTGTATAAACGCCCCACCATTGAGCTACACCCCTAATCCTCATGCCTGTATAAACGCCCCACCATTGAGCTACACCCCTAGACCTCACGCCTGTATAAGCACCCCACCATTGAGCTACACCCCTAGTCCTCACGCCTGTATAAACACCCCACCATTGAGCTACACCCCTAGTCCTCACGCCTGTATAAACACCCCACCATTGAGCTACACCCCTAGTCCTCACGCCTGTATGAACACCCCACCATTGAGCTACACCCCTAGACCTCAATTAGCTGCAACCGTGAAAGGATCGTTAACCCCCCTGTGGACCTCCAAGGAGTGAATTCAAGAGATTTGAACTCAGCTCTAAATATCCCCCTTTTCTCGCATAAAGTAAAGATAACAGTATGGATGATTTCATCTTTAATGGTCTGATGTCATGGCATATAAAGACAGAACTACACCGGGTGCATAAAAGAGCCAACCAGCCACTACCACACGTGTCTGCATTCCGAGCTGAAGCAGACACGTGACCTTTGTTTTTTAGATAGGTCTTGCTGTACATCCCTGCTGGCTGGTCTGGAACTCACTACGTAGCCCAGGCTAGCCTTGAAATTGTGTTAACCCTCTTCCAGCCTCTGCCTCCTGAGTACCGGGATTGGATCACACATGGCTCATTCTCTTTCCTTACTGATCTTTTCTGGGGGGTAACTTTTGCAATCTTAAAAGTTTACCACAGTGCAACAAGTCATTATAGACTAGCCCTCTGCCTCTTCCTCTAGAGGTCACCGCCTCTAACCTGGGATCAGCTTTGCCTCGTTTGCAGCTTTTCCTGTCTCTGGACTTGCAGTGACTGAGTCTACTGGTTGTATTCTTTCGTGTTCTTCCTTTTGCTCACTGTTACAGTTGTGAGTTTCCTGCTAGGCCATGGTTTAGATAACTGGTCTACTTATATTCATTGGTTCATTCTTTCTATCTGTGGCTGTAATGTAGCCTGCTTGCTCATCCAGATGTTGACTCTTTGGGCTGCCCACAGTTTGGTTATTACAGACAGTACTGGCTTGCACATTCTTGTGCCTGTCCCCTGGGTCCATGCCTAAATGTGTCAGTCACGGAAGAAGCATGTTTCAGTCGCCGAGACTGTCTGTCTTAGTTTCCCCTGGTGTTCTGAAACCCATACCTCTTGATAGAACGGCATGGCATTTGCTCCCGTCTGAAAAGGTTTGTCTCTCCTGTAGAGGAATGCAAGGACAGCAGCGGAAAAGCGCTATGCTAACACCCTGAAAGCACTAGGACTGTCTGAGGAGTTTGTTTCAGAGAAAGGCCGTGGTGGAAAAGTGTCTAAGGACTTCACCAGGCAAGAGCTGAGAAGCCGCACGTCGGATAAAGAAAGGTAGTATGGTGTGGGGCGCATGTGCTGCGGGGACGCACGTGCTGCAGGGATGCACGTGCTGTATGGATGCATTGCTGCAGGGATGCATTGCTGTGGGGCGCGTGTGCTGAGGGACACATGTGCTGTGCTTTTTGTTGTTTTAAAGCCTTTTACTTAAGGGAGCACGTGGGAACTGTTGTAAAATATACTAATATTTACCATATTTGATGCAATATAAGTATTACATAGTGATAAAGCATTTTGTTCTTACAGCAAGCGTATATTTCTGACACATTATAAGTGTGTGTGTGTGTGTGTGTGTGTGTGTGTGTGTGTAGCCTGTTTTCTATTGAAATATAAGAAGTCACCAGTCAGTGGTGCACACCTTTAATCTGAGCACTGGGGAGGCAGAGGCAGGTGGATCTCTGTGAGTTCAAGGCCAGCCTGGTCTACAGAGCCAGTTCCAGGTCAACCAGGGCTATATAAAGAAATCCTATCTTGAAAAACCAGGAAAAAAAAGAGAGAGAGAGAGAGAGAATAAAAAAGAAAGAAAAGGAAGGAAAGAAAAAGAGAAAAAGAAAGCGATAAGGAGTCAAGTTTTAAAATAAATTGGTTGTCCGGGAATACTTGATTTTCCCACTGGTGCTTCCGGAGTTCTCCTGCTAGCTGTCGGAGCCTGTGGGCTGGCGGAGCACCCTTACGTGGTGGCATGGTAACACAGGCCATGTACCTTCGAAACCAATGCATTTTTCCTTTGATAGATTGATAACATTTCTTTCTGTAGCTCTTATGAAGAAGAGAGAGAGAATGAGGATGGAAACTATTTAAGTGATGCCAACAGCCAGGATTCTTGCAAGGAAAACACCGAAGATGTTAAAGAAAGCAGAGAAGAAAATTCCGAAGACTGAACCCGAATCACAAGGCTGCCTCTCCCTGAGCCTTTCTGTGTGCAGCCTCAGGACCTCAGCCCTGCCCTTGTGGTGAGCATGTGCTGGGACAGCTCGCACACGTGTAGGACTGCTGAACCAGGACATCACGTCTGGGACAGGCTGAGTCCACACAGTGGGTGACTGATTGCTGGATGACAGCTGTGCCCCCTGCAGTGTGGAGATCACTCTGTACACTGCTTGTGGTTCTGTTTGTGTTTGCAGATTAGAGAGCCACAGCAGTCACAGGTGGATTGGTTCTGGAAATGCACGTTCGCATTTGGTAGGGGAAAGAGTTTGATATTGAGAGACCTATTAGCTTTTGAAGATCTAGTTTTAAATTTACTAAGTATTTTCAATTTTCTCTGAACTGCTTTTTAAATAAGTAATATACAGAAAAAGATAGGTACTTAGAAATTCACAGTAATTTCTGCACTGAAAATCTACTGCTAAATTGTCCACACCATGGCTACGTTTTCTTTCTTTCTTTCTCTCTTTCTTTCTTTCTTTCTTTCTTTCTTTCTTTCTTTCTTTCTTTCTCTTTCTTTCTTTTTTCTTTTTTTTTGTTGGAGATTAAATCCAGGGCTCACACTTCACATGAATTCTACCACTGAGCTACACCCCTAATGCCCCCACTATTTTTGATAGGTAAAGTATTAAGGTAATTTATGTTACTTTTAAAAATCCTGTGTATTATTGCATATAGAGTAATTATGGCCTTTGTGTGTGGTAGTATGTTTGTTTGTTTGGTTTTGGCTTTTTGATACAGGGTTTCTCTGTGTATCCCTGGCTGTCCTGGAACTTGTTCTGTAGACCAGACTAGTCTCAAACTCAGAGATCCGCCAGCCTCTGCCTCCAGAGAGCTGGGATTAAAGGCAGCACCCCCACTACTCAGCGTGTGCGGTAATCTTAACTGAGAGACACACGTCCCTGTTCTAAATATGCTGAAATTGTCATCCTAATTTGCCAAAGGAAAATCCTAAAAGTAATTCAGATTTACTGTTTTTATTGCTTACTTGTGCTTAACTATGTACACACTGTTGCAAATTTACTATCACTGTTCAAGGTTAAATTTGACCTTGAGTCATTTTTCCCTCTTCAAGCACGTTTCTGTTTTGGAAATTAAAACTCATCTTTAAGATGCTACAGGGTAGGACATTGCGTGTCTAGCAATTAGCTTTACAAAGGACGAATAATAGAGGTGGGCGAGGGCCTCTCCCAGGCACCTCCTTATGCTTGGTAAGGTGTGTTCTCAGCTGGGGCGCACGTTCAGTTACTTGCCAGTATTTTTAGATCACAGCATTTCATGTTGCATTAGCGGCTCACACAGGGTAGTGCATGCGGTAGACAACTTAATGCAGGTCTGGATAAGTGGATGAATGGCTTCCAATTATAGCTACTTCAGAGTGATTTAGAAATATTTCCAACTTACTGAGTGCTTGTAAAACAGCCCACTAACTGTCATATTTAGAAGGTTGCTTCTCCTCTCAATTTCATGGAGAGAGTGCAGTTTGAGGATTTCATGGAGAGAGTGAAGTTTGAGGATTTCATAGAGAGAGTGCAGTTTGAGGATTTCATAGAGAGAGTGTGGTTTGAGGATTTCATGGAGAGAGTGTGGTTTGAGGATTTCATGGAGAGAGTGTGGTTTGAGGACATTAACTACTTCAGGACAGGTCTTCAGTTTTCTTACCTACTGAGATGTGGAAATCTGTAGCAGCCTGCTCCTAGTGCAGGGGAGGAAACCAGGGCAAAGCCCCACCCCAGTCTCTTCGTTGCTTTCCATTGTTTGGCTTTGCTTGTTTGTTTGAGAGCTTGCTTCATAGCCCAGATTGGCCTCAAATTTGCAGTCCTGTTTTACCCTCCAGAGTGCTGGGATTACACCCCATCCCCAAGACTTTATATTTCCTTCCTTCCTTCCTTCCTTCCTTCCTTCCTTCCTTCCTTCCTTCCTTCTTTCCTTCCTTCCTTCCTTCCTTCCTCCTCCTCTTTGTTCTCCTCCTCCTGCAGGGTGTAGCCTTGGCTGTTCCAAATCTCATTCTGTAGACAGGCTGGCCTCAAACTCAAAGAACTGCTTGTCTCTGACTCTGTGTACATCTATGTGCAGGTATGTGAATGTGAATTCAGGTGCCTGTGGAACCAGAAGAGTGTGGCAGCTTCTGAGGCACTGGGGTTCCAAGTGTTTTAAACTGACTGATGTTGGGTACTGGAAGCCAAGCTTGTGTCCTTTGCAGGAGCAGTACATGCTCTTAGGCACTGAGCCAGCACTCCATGTCCAACCAGCTTGATACTGGTTGCAAAATTATCATTAGGTCTCAGGAATGATCTCCAAAAAAGGTCAAGAAAAGAATATGGCTCATGGCTTGGTTGGCAACTATTTTCTTCCTTTTTTATAATTTTTTTAAAGATTTATTTTTATTTTATGTGTGGGTTTCTGCCTGCATGTGTTTTGTCTGTATACCATGGACAATAGAGTGCACTGGGAATAGGGTGTCAATTTCCTGGAACTAGAGTTGCCGTTGGTTGTGAACCTCCTGAGGGTGTTTGGAATTGAACCTGGGTCCTCTGGAGCAGCTAGTGCTTCCAAAGACCTCTTACTGTGTTTTTATGTTGCTGAGGCTGGCACTGTGCTCAGTGAAGACAGAAAGAAAACCCTCTATTCTGAGCTTTCCTTGCAGCTCGGAGGGCTCATTATACCATATTAGCCAGGAAGAAGTGGGCTTAGGAACCTTCTGGAGGGTCTTAATTCAAGAGATGTAGCCGGATCCTTGTCTCCACTGTCTGCGAGGCCGAACATGCAGTGAGAGTCATCATTTACTGTTTGCGGACTGCTTACTTTTCCAAGAAGAAAGGTAACTGCGTTAACCTCTGAGGATGGAACCACAAAATAGGCTGTCAACGTGGAACACAGCACCAGAGCCTTGCTTCAGTAATATTTCTGTTCTCTTTGGACTATTAATAAAGAACATGACCACCTCTTCTTGGGGACTGTTGACTGTTAAGGGTCACTTGGGAGGGGTGCCATTGCCACTGGGGGCCTATTGAAAAGAAGGGGTCCGGAGGAAAAGGAAGGCATTGAGGGTGAATATAGACCTTGTATGTGTGTGCACAACCCAGCAGATAAAGGAAAAGAGCGTGGTATAGTTTGCCACAAAGGTAAGCTACCTCATCATGCTTTAGGATGGAAGAAACTACAGCTCCCATCTGCCACCCCTGAAGGCTGTGCCAAGGGATGTGTGGCCAAGGAATGGGAGCAGCTCCCAGGAAGCAGGGCAGGAGAGAACCGAAGAAAGTCGGTATTCCAGACATGATGTGCTCTTGTAATCCCAGAGCACAAGAGGCTGGGGCAGGAGAATTGCTTTGAGTTCAAGGCACCCTAGGCTACATAGAGAGTTTCTGGGTTAGTCTGTTTCTACCTGATCTCAGAAAAAGTTGAAGATAAAACAGCTCATTAAAGGTAACAATCCCGACACATACAATACTGTGAAGTGCATTTTTCTTGTTATTCTTTCCGTATCAATTTTTCAGGACTTTGTTCCTCCACAGTTTGGTGAGATTTTATAACTCTTACTGTCAGGGCTGTGGGGACCAACCCTGCTCTGCCTCAGTTTCTCTTTTTCACAAGGATGCTCTGGATCAGTGTTTCCTGTCATGAAGTTGTCAGAGGTTGCTTGTCTCCATCCAGCTGGGAGAGTGGGATTGGCTAGAAGGGGCAGTTGTTTAATTTCAGAGTCATCAGCGGAGTGATTTCTAAAGAGAGGATTTTGGAGAGTTTAGATGTACACACGAGAGGAGCTGCTCGTCTCGCTCCCCTTAGGAGCCTACTCCGTCTGTGGATGTGCATGTTTGCGACAGCACATATTTTGTTGCTGGCGTCTCATCCAGGCTACAGGCAGGTCGTGTGGCCCTCCCACGTCACAAGGCAGGAAGGACACAGGCCAGGGAGATGCCACGGCCTCGTCTCTTACCGCAGCGCAGAAGTTTATTTGCAATCTTGAGTAGAAGTACTCTATTAAATAATCTTTCCGTGTTGGAGGCATAACTTGGGTCGCCTAGGATACCCAGGGCCTGGGTTTGATCTCCATCCCCAAAAAGAATAAAATAAAAATCCGAAGGTTTATAGTGATAAATAATACACAAGCAGGAATGCACTACAGACGAGGTTGGTTTATTTGGTTTCTTTCGGCTCTAAGAATACGTGCTATATTCTGGAAAAATATGTAAGCAGGACCCAGTGTCACCACAGTCATAGTTAAACCACTGCAAATCACATCAGATTGCTTTCTTTTTCACTTTCGATTTTGAGGAATTGCAAACCTACACATTTGAAGGGGCCTATCCATGTGCTTTAGCCTGAGGTGTTACAGTCACTCAGTGTTTTGCCAGGTTTGTCCTCTGTACGTGCGCGCGCGCGTGCGCGCACACACACACACACACACATACACACACACACACTTCTAAGCTCGAGTGAGGGTTTTAACTATGAGAGGCAAAGGTTGGTATACCTCAGATCTATACCCTCGGCCCCCACACCCATCCTGTCATCCCCTGAACCGTTTGACAGTGTTTGCTTAATCGTGACGTTTTTACCCTAAGTACTTCAGTTGTCTTCTGTATAACCACAGAGCCATTATAATGCCTGAAATATCTGATGTACCAAGAATATACATATGTGTGTGTTTATATTCTTTTCTTGGTACTGAGGTTGTATCCCTACCACTGAGCTGCATCCATGACCAAAAATATCTAACATTGATGAAATACTTCTCTCTTGAATACAGTCTACCTTCAGTTTCCCCAAATATTATCTGACTTGGTTTTTCTCCCAGTTCTGGGTTCATGGGCAACAATAACATATTGATAATGTATGCACTTTGTGGGGGCATTCCGTGAGGAGGCACAGATGGTCTGTTTCTACCATCTCTGATGATACTGGATTTGATCACTTCAGGTGTTACCGTCACATGCTTGCATTGTACGGTCTTCTGTGTCTTTCTGATGACACGGTGGGGTAGGTGTGAGTAATGCCTTAATACTATAAATATCTGCCCTCCAGCAGATTTTTCACTCAGTAATTTTAATAGCTATGGATAATCTTCCCTGAATGTGTTGTGATACTGGGGCTTGTAAAATGGCCATTTCCTAATTGTTTATCCCTTCCGTAGAGAAGGCAGTCTCTAAAGGGCTTCCTGCTTCATTATGCGAGGTGTCACCATGGCTGAGGAATTCATTTATTCCCTTGTTATAATTATTACCGTCACTAAATTCTTAGACTTGTGCTCAGGTTGTCCTGAATTTGGCCAGCATGAGGCCCCAAGCTGGCTCCTCATCAGCTGGCTTATTTCCTTACCTTCAGGCACAACAACAGTTTTAAGGACCAACTTATATTTCCCTGCCCAGATCTGGAATTGCTTGTTTCTTGAAGAAGTTTAAAAACCATTTGTGGAGAACGGTGTTTCTCCATAATGTAACAAGACCACTGCTGGGCTGCCTGGCAGATGCTAATGTGACCAACAGACCTAGTAAGTTCAAGTAAGACTCAGAGTTTGGAGACTTTAAAGTAAATCCTATTAAACGTGTACAGTAACTTTTGTATGTAAAACCTTTGATAGCTATACACTTAAAAACAAACAACAAAAATCCCAGGCCATCACTGGATATGGTGGCCAGTCTTAGTACACGGGAGGTGGGCACAGGAGGATGGAGAGTTTGGACTTGCTTTGACTATGGAGTAAGTCTGAGGCCAGCCTGGGTTAATCAGCTCCTGACTAAGTGTGCGTGAGCCGGGGACGTGGCTCAGGTGGTGGAAGAACCTGGCGTGCATGTTGCTCTGGGCTTGACAGGCAGCACCGTTTGAGATAGGCACTGTGGTGCCTGCGTACCCGCAGTACCAGTACCTGGGAGGTAGACGGTCAAGGTCAGCAGGGATAGGAGTTCAAGGCCAGACTAGGCTATGTCAGACCCCGTCTTGAAAGAAAAGATCTCAGATGTGATGTATAGTTAGAAAGATGTTACAGTCCTGATATGAAAGCCACCATGAGAAACTCATAAAAAATTATAATTTTACAATCATTCTCTATGCTCACGTTTAGAACTCTGAATAATATAGAAAGGCCTAAATATTGTTTTATATGTATGGGCGTTGGTGTTTTGCTTATGTCTGCAATCCACTTGCATGCCTGCTGCCCATGGAAGCTAGAAGAGGACATCGGGTCATTTGGAGCTGGAGTTACAGGTGGTTGTGAGTCACTGTGTGGTTGCTGGGAAGTGTCCTCTGGAAACTGCAGCCAGTGCTCTTAACCCCTGAGCCATGTCACCAATATTTTATAAAGATCTGAGTGTGTATTCTTCCCCAGATGGGAGATGTAGCAAGATGCAGCCCAGATGTAGAGCATTTGCACATAGACACAAGTTCCGGGCTCAATCCTGGCACTGCAGGAGGAATGAGAAGCAGTTACAGGTGTGTAATACTTGTAATATTATAAAGTGTGTAAAATCCATGCGTATATAATCTGTAGGTCTATACTTTTGTCTTATAAATTGCACTTTGACTTCCTGCTCCTGCCACCATCTACTCCATTCTCTGAGTCGTTGCCCCTTTGCAGGCAACCTCCCCTCTTTTTGACTTCTAGACTTCGGACCCTTAAACACTTCCTTTCTACCTCAGCTGGACAGTCCCCAAGTCACTTTTAAAACGTGTTTATGTGTATGGGTGTGTGTCTCTGTGCCTGTGCGGGCGGCCATGGAGTCCAGAAGAGGACACTGGAGCTCTCAGAGCTGAAGTACAGGTGATTGTGTACTACCCTACATGGCTGCTGGGAGCCAAACGCTGGTTCTCCGCAAGAACATCAAGTGCTCTCTATCACGGAGTCCTCTCTCCAGCCCGTCACCCATGAAAAAATTGCACTCGCTTGCTTATTCATGTCTGTGTACCATGGGGGCATGCCTATGTCGTGGCGCTGATGGAGGTCAGAAGAAACTCAGGAGAGGAACAAGCCCCTTTCCTCTGAGTCATCGCGCTGCCCCCCAAATCACCTATTTGAACACTGGCTGCAGCCGCACCTGGTTCCAGCTGCTGCTGTTCCCCACTCGCATCGAACTCTAGGAGACTCTAGATGTGTTTCCAGAAACCTTCGTTTCTCTCCTTGCCCTAACTTTGTCCTTGTGGATTTACGGCCATTTTGGTAGATCTTTACCAAAGATCAGAGCTTCCTTCTTTCCACGGTGTTTCCTCCTTTGCTGGTTTTCTGCCTCTGTCTCCTGAGCGCTCCTAGAGTGCCAGCCTGCGCTTCTCTCTGCAGGAGCTGGACGCCCCTCTTAGCTCCGAGCATCCAGCACTGAAAACGCCCGATAGCGGACCTCCGAGCTTTACCTTTTAAGAACAAACACATCTCACACGCGATGCATCCAAGCAGGCTTCATTCTCCCTGCTTCCTCCTAAGGGACTCTGCTCTCTCCCAAGTAACTCAAGGCCAGTGTTGTGATTGGTTCCTGCTTCTCTCTTCCCTCCTGAATCCAAGTCACCGGCCAGTCCTGCTGTAAATCCCTCAACAGTGCAGCCACGACGAGCTTCTGTTTTCCCTGTCCACTGTTCCGCTCCAGGTGTGGTCACCGTCACTTCTTCCCTAGATCAGTCAGTGGATTCTCCCTTTTTATGACTGAAATTTGAGCATTTCCAGTATTATCGTTTTATTATTTTTTTTCTTATTTATTTTCTTATGGACAGGAGCTCACTGTGTAGTGCTAGTTGGTCTGGAATTCACTATGTAGACTAGGCTGGCTTTGAACTCATAGAGATCCACCTGCCTCTGCCTCCTCAGTGCTGATAACAAAGATATGTACCCCACTCCTGGCACTACAACCTTCTTTTTGAGGCACGGTTTCTCTTGTTATTTCTGCCTGAGCTTCATACACCAGCTTCCTGCCCACTCTCTTCAATCCAGGAAAATTTGTCGTAAAGTAGCTGCGATACTCCGCCA